AAACCCATTTTACAATATGAGAACACTATAGTTACGGTTTGTCTAGGCTTAGGAAAACATTGCGGTTTGAGTTACAATGACTGCTTGATGTTAGGGGACCTTTGTCATCATTGTAACAATAATAAACACATGTAAGGTTATGAAAGGGTAATATAAAGATGGATGTAGCTCTGTGACGTCACCCAAAGGATTCTGAAAAGCAGTGTTGAAGCTCAGACTGGGCTGCTCTACTGTTGCCATCTTGGCAGTGCCTGACTCTGCCTTTTACTCCCAGCTAATCCAAAAATGGCCGTGTGAGTAGCCTATAGCTTGCTCAACGGTTAACTCAAGGCTAATTCCTTTGCTGGCTAACTAGCTAGTTAACAAGCCAAGTATGGTGAGCAAGCACCACAAGCTGCTAATTACTGCTAACATATAAATAAAGCATTTTAACATGGAAGTCTATGGCAAGCCAGCCTCAAGTGGCCATTCGAGATTTATGGTACTATATATATATATATATATATACACACACACACACACACACACACACACACACATAAAATGAAAGATAAGATCCAGCCCTCTCCTCAACCAAATATTTTTACAGTCCCCTTTGATTGAGTCTCTTGTTTCATTAAACAAAAATATTACACAATCAGTTTAAGTATACCATAGGAGGATCACACTATAATCATTACCCCCTTGTATATTGTATATTGGAATCCAGTTACTGTGGGTAACTCAGTTTCAAGCCTGAAATGTGAAAAAATTGATTGTACCATATTCCTCCTAATTACAACAGCTGTGATCAATTTTTCGGTTGTTGTTGTGTCCAATTACTTCCTTGACTGAGTCCCCATAGCCCTCTTGCACTGGAGCTGGAGCTCAGCAAACGAGCCACTGTCTAATATTGTCTGGAACATTTATCCACAATGTTTAGGTTCACTGTGGTGTAAACACATTCAATACCAACTCATTAGCTACATCTAATTCCATATTTATCCCATAATTTGATTTCCAATCTTGAATGATAATGACTCTAATTATGCGTCTGTACATGTTCCAGTGATGTACTGTAAGCTATAACTTAAAAGGATCCAGTTAGCACATCTCCCCTGTTTCTCATACTTTACCTGTTAGTGTCTCAGAGTGTGCACTATGGTCTAATACTCTGCTCTTATAAGAAAACATATTTATCATTCTCGAACCATGCAGCGAATAATTGACCAATTATTCAGTATAAGGAAGTGCAGAGTCTGCATAATGTCATGTTCCCAAAATACAGCAAATTGACAGTGCAGGATAAGCTATCTGTTTGTGTAAGTGCTTGCCATGCCTTTGTTACTTGTGATTTAATACCCAGAGTAATTGGCCAGGTGTTGTCTTCTGCAATGAAGTTCAGCGGCACGGCCAAAAAATAACTTCCTGTGGTGCAAGAAAGATGAAAAGTGATTATGCAAGCCAGTGGTGAGAAGCATATGATGATGTATGATCCAAACAAATCTACCTCTGGCTCTCAGACAACAGCACATAGGCAACTGGTATCCTGATGCAATTAATCTCCACAATCTTTGCCCATTCATAAGAGCGCTAATGCAGAAACAGAAACAGACCTGTTTACACACAGGCGCCGCCTGTAATGTTGATTACTTGCTTTGTTATTGCTTTGGAAGTGGCACCAAAGTTTGCCTTAAGATATATTAACTCTTTTCCCATGATAAGCTTGATGGCTTCAGTCTTGATACAAGGCTGATTAATACAATATCACAAGAAATACCTTATGGTGAGAATCCATGCACACAGGAATGCTCCAGATAATCCCTGCTCACAAATAGACAAGTACACACACACACACACACACACACACACACACACACACACACACACACACACACACACACACACTCATACTAACACATACTCACTGCCCGACCCTAAAAGTAGTGGACAAAGAAAAGTTTTCCAATTGGATTTCTTGAGCTCATCCTTTGATGAGAGTCTGCCTATTTCATTGATCTCATATGTTATCTTAACCTCTGGTCCAATAATGACAGACGGATTAAAAGTCCCTTCAAGTTTGGTTATGTATAAACCACAATCTAAAAGAAAAGAAGACACAAACAGAAAAGAAAGAGGATTTTGAAGTTGGACTACAAACCTCTATGAAGTCTGCTCTCTCATTACGTATGCTAATAAATCCAATGATCTCTCAACTGCTGCATGCATGCATCCATGAAAAATGAAATTTCACACCATAGTTCACCTCACTTGAAAGTTGTTATGTTGTATTGTTTTACAACATTGAATCAAAGCAGATTTAATGCATTTCTTTTACACTGATCAACATAAAAAAAAAAAAAACTATTTGAAACATCATTGCGAGATGATCTAAATAAATTACAAATATGAAATATAAAATGCATGTTTACTTTCTGGTGAGGAAATATTTCCAAGTTAAGTATTTCCTTTCTTTAATAGGACACAGTTGAATAATCACTGCCAACTGGTTTTAGAAGTCACAAATTAAGTTGAAGGTCCCATATTTTACACTTTTCCGGTGTTTTAAGTTTTGATATTCATAAGAAGATAATCAAAAAAAGACATGGAAATCTCACTTTATACAATATGGGACCTTTAAATGGAGATCACCTGTGAAGGTTTGAGGGGTTTCAGTTGATTGTATCTGGAAGGTGAAACCTTTAAAGCCAAAGCTACACAGTAATTGCTTAAAACAATAATGTTCATTTCAGGAGTTCAGAGCTCAGTCCATTTGTGGCTGCATTTAAAAAAGTCTGTTTGCTCATAATCCCAATGCAACCTGACAGAGCTTGAGCTAACCCTAAATCTAACAGTTTCAGGTTTCACAAAGATATTTTAGACTGGTCTGCATTGTTTGCCCCCCCTCCCCCACAGGCAAATACTGCACACACATCATGTGTGAGTGAAAGATTTCAGTGTTTTTGACTTGTGAGTGCTCAGTTTATCTGACAATTCAAGATGGCAGCTGTCAGTCTGCAAAATATCTGCTGAATTTTTGCAGAATAAGGAAAACATTTCCTTGGTGGAGTGAACTGAGCGGTTTGATGCAGTTTCTCAGTCAGCCATGTTTTTGTAATTATAAAAAAAAGTCTTACATTCCCAATCAAGCCTTGTGCAATGGTGAATATAGACGTCTATTAGTTTGATTTAAGCCGTAGTCTTTGACTGCTGTTGTGAAACCAACACCAGATGTCCAAAGATGATAGATATCTATCAACACAGGCCCAGAAGTACATCTACAATTTTAAATACTGACTTTGAGAAGATGAAGGAAGAATCTTATTTTCTATTTTACTTTGAAAAGGCTTTTATTTTGTGGAATAGTGTCAAAAAGCCATATTAAATCTACTTTGATTCAATGTTGTAAGAAAATAAAACATGACAACTTCTAAGACAGTGATCACTTTTTATTGAAACTGTGGCTTCATCTATTCTGACTTGTGCAAGAGTATTTGCAAAGGTTTTCCATCTAACACACCTTCAAATCGGCAGCTGGCTCGTTCGTGCAGCATGTGTATGAGAGGAATTACAATCAAGCTGTCATTACCTTGAGGCCAATTGTACTGGTAATTGTGAGAGGATGACAACAGGTTGGCCAGCATTAAGGCTCATCTTCCTCTGGCTAGTTCAGCACCTGCCTGCTGGCCACCAGCCTAATTTTTTTCCGACAGCCTCAGCAGGAATGATTGATGCCTGAAGGCCTCTGATGGTGTGTGTGTGTGTGTGTCTCGGTGCCAAGCTGCTCCATCCATACAGTACTCCCTCTTGAAACTCATTTAGGCTACACCTGTCACCGCGCACATTGGCTGCTTGATGTTTTCCCTTATAGGCTCACTGTCAGTGGGCACACACTCTTTCAAGATAAGCTGCTACTGTGCAGTGCAGATAATATTTTGGAAGTTGTAATCACCTCAGGGGGATTTCTAAGGCAATGTAGGTTAAAAAAAATCTGTAAATCTACATTGTTTAGCTGATGCTGCACAATGCTAGATTTATTAAAGGAAATATATACTGCTTTCACAAATACTAGCCAACTATCACAGTTTCAATGTTGTAAAGATCAATTCCCATGGTACGCTCACCCCTATTTTGTCCAGTCCCTCCTCACATATGTTATAAGACCACCAATGTGGAAACACTTAAGCTTTTTCTCTATTGTTTGGTGTCGATAATCTCAGTATTTGCCTTGTGTATGATGACCTTCGTGCGTTGCGGTATACTGAACTCTTTATCCTCTTTTTATGGCGCACACGTACACACACGCACACACACAGCTCTTTTAGCTCCAAAGAATTTTAAACCTCCCAATGTCCTGATACTATTGCATTTTTCATTGGTATTTTAAGCAAAGAGTTGTGAGGTCTTAGAAGTCAGCTGGCATTAATTCCTCTGAGGCAGAGGGATTCAACTTCTCCCTGGAAAGAGGCTTAAAAGAAAGTTCTTCTGCCTCCAAATGACTACATTTCTCCTCTCATATATAAATATATATATATATAAATATATATATATATATTATGTTCCTTGGTGGACAGGAGAACAATAGATAATTGAATGTGAATGCAGTTTGTTCTGTTTAATGCGCAATAATTAATTTAATAAAAAGGACGAAAGAAATTAAGATTAGTTTTTCTTCCATATGCAAATTATAAATAAACAGAGAAGTTGACTAATCTCATTGTTCTCTGTGGTTGTGGGCATTGGTCTGTCAGGGGTGCAGGTGTATACATAATACATCAAGGCGAGAAGAAATACAAGGAAACTCAGATCATTACTGCTGCTTTGTGGAAAAAACATGAAATTTAATGTATTTTCTTCAAACTAGCATGATAGTAGGCTGGAGACACGAGTGACCAGATCTCACTCAGCAGAGAGGGTTTTTTGCATTAAACGAGACAAGAAGCATAAATTAACTGAAATACTCTAAATGTGCTGTACAGTTGAGGTTGTATTAGGCGCTCAGGTATAAAGTCCACTTAGGGTTAAATGAACTTCTCCATTCGTATCACATTTATTCTAGCCAGTTTGGAGAACCAGCGATTAGCGTGCGTGTTACTGTGGGATCCAGTTTGAACGAAGCCAAATTTTTGGTACAGGGAAATGGCCGCTGTCTGCGGTGAGCTGATGTCCAGAATGAGGCGAGTATAGCCGTGCTCTTTGCAGAAGTCCAACGCCTTCTGCATCAGCTGTGAACCCAGGTTTTGGCGACGCCATGGAAACGCCACCACCATGTGGGACATCTCACCGTAACTCCTGTCTTCAGCATCTTGGGCAGACTCTGGGCCTCCTCCGTTCCAGTTATCAAACCTCTCACCTCCTTCCTCCTCCTCCCCCTTCTTCCCCATCACTGCCACCATCCCCACCACCTTGGACTGGCCGTTAACGTCTGCCTCTGCCACCCAGAAACCATTATCTGGTTTTTCCAGGTAATTGGCTTGAATGTTGGCCATGTCTGTGCTCAGCCGCCTCATCATGTAGCCTTCGTAGATATCGTGGCAGAAGTAATAAATGAGGCCGGCCCATGCACTGCCAAAGAGTAATGCTTGGAAGTAGGAGCTGCCTCCTAGCACATAGCCGGCCATGGAAATACTCAGAGCAATGCCAACGTGGTCTGGATTGCTTATGGCATTGAAGAAGGCTGGGTACACATGTTCGAGTATCCCATCACGGAAGAGTGACATGACCACATGCTGATCTGAAGCTCTGTATTCCCTGATGGAGAACTGAACTGCATGTTAGAGGGGGAGAGAAAGAAAGAGGGAGGGAGGGAGGGAGAGAATGAGAGCTCAGTGAGACTAATCTGCCTGTTGTTGCAATGAGAAATTCCTGCTGGATTTAACAACAGGCTCAATACACTCACGTAACTTGTTGAAAAAAAAGAAAAATGAATCAATACACCTTTTACAGAATCGTACCCTTCTCGGTTTTAATTTAACTCTATTCCACATGAATACATAAAACCTGGCATTTGGTTATGACAACCCGAGGTGAAAGTCGCAATTAAAATTATTATAGCATTGTTTTCTCTTTAAGATTTCAAGCATGAGAGTCATTCCCCGACGCAATACAATTAGGTCTCAAACGTGATAATGATTAGAATCAAGGTGAGAATCCTGAGGCAACAAACAAAAGGCCTTTAAGTCTTAGTGAAATGTGCTATGTCTCATCCAGGCATATTAGCGGTGCCATTCATTCACACCCTTAGCTGTCTTGTTAGTGCTCTTGTTTGTAATCAACTCGACTACTTGAAGAGAAAAAGGTAGAAAAGATTAACTTAATCAGAACATGAACTTACAGTTATTTTTCTGGGCCATGCCGACACACACTTTCTCCCCCTCGTCTCTCGCTCACTCTGAAGTGCTTTAACTCTGCTGCTGCTGCTGCCCCTGAACTTAAACTACAGATTGTGATAATCAGCCATTCACAAAAGGGATTGAAATTAGTCTGAGCATGCTCACCTATAAGTACACACACACACACACACACACACACACACACACACTGCAAGAACTTGTAGACCTTAAATGACTTTAAGTGCTGTATAAAATAGCAGGGTTCATATAAGAATTTTTAAAGTTAGATTGCTATAACGGTGCTTTAAGTTTAGTTGAAATTAATCACAGGGTTGCTGTGATTATGAAACACAGAGTATTTTCTTTAAAAAAAAAAACTTAATTAGCTTAGTCAACAGAGTAAAGAACTATATCATTGGATTTCTCAAGGAGGATGAGCACAGATCCTGAATATATTAAGTCAGAAAACTGAGCAGAATGTGAATTCAGTGCTCGTCCTGGCCCTTATATCTCCAAGAATGAAATGTTATTAACCTCTTTTTAGGTGTTTCAGTTTCAGTGGTGCTCTCTCAGAAATCTGCTGTGGATCTCCACACCGGTTCTTTCACCGCAATATAAAGGTGAAAGTAAAATGAATATTGTCTGGCCCTCCTGACATAAAAGTGTCCTGTGGTGTCGGTGACAGTGTCTTGTGCAATAACCTGCCGGCCCTCTGACATGATTCAATTTCCTCGGCAGGTGAAGGGCCCTTACACCTGTTTAAATCAATAGTGCTGCCTCATGAATCTGTGAGTGCTGGAAGGTCAAGCAACTCTGGAACTTTTTTCAGCCCGTTTCCCAACCACCATGTGAATTCTGAATTTTACACCCGATAAAATGAAATCTCCCCAGACCACTGCAACCACATATTATGAAATTTCTTTCCGATTACATAGTGGTGGCAAAGGTAACTGGCAATTATTTTTTCTTTGAATGAATGAAGCACTTAATTTACAAAGTGCATGACTATTACACCAGAGCCCACCAGTTGCCTATAAATCTAACCCGGCAACAAAAGCATTATGGTTAAGGTTAGGGAAAGATAGAGGTTTTGGTTAAAAAAAAAAAAAAAAAACTTTGTCTCACAGTGGATTTTTTCTGTAGAAAACCCCCATAAAAAAGTTCAATAGTGCTGCAGTCACTACAAGTGGATATTGTACTGATAGATCGGACATACGTCGTCAGTAAACATCTGAGTGATACGTTCAATATTAACATTTTTGCAACTTCCCAAATACGTGAATTAACAGCATTTCCTCATCATGTCAATAGAAAATGTAATCCTGTCAGCATTCCTTCAAAATGTATTTGCTGTTGCAAATTAGTTGAGTAGAAATGTAATTTAGAGGAGACAGTATTGCTGTATGATAAAAGCCATAAGCCCCTTTCAGACATGCACCTCATTGCAGTACGTAGACGGTGATTTATTCTAGAAAACAAGTGGTTTGTACAATGTGTTGTGCGACCATGTCTGAAACAGTGTTTATAGTTGCTCCAAACGGCCACAATTGAAGTTGGAGTAAAAGATGAGCGTCACAGAGAGACAGTCTTTCCTGAATGACATTTGTAGTGTTGCACTCAGTTGTTCACATAAAAAAAATGTCAGAAACTTCTGTAACAAATGGAAAATTTAAACCCAGTTCACTCTCTCACATTTGCACATTTGGCCAATCACAGTGGATGTGAATGTAGGATTGTTAGCTTCAGAAAGTTACAGAAATTGTCAGACAGAGCAGCCCCAATTCTCATGTTGGAAAGATGTCGGGGAGGAGGTTTGTGAAGCTATTCAACCAGCTGGCAGCCAGTTCTGATGAATATATACTGGTGCCTTAAATATTGGTGTCATTTCTGAATGACACTTGTGTATAAAAGTCACAGTGGAGATCTTACAAGGTCAAACTTAATAACATTTTTGTAAAATTTTCAGTATGGCACAAATCTGAATTGAATGATTAATGTTTCCAATGAGGTAAGAGAAAGAAAAAAGAAACCTTTAGAGCTCCAATAATAATCAGATCAGCTTATAAAGTTAAGGTTTCATCCAAACAAATTACCAGCCTGAAAGAATATCCATCAAAACACTTTAGTACAGCATGTAGGCAGATAGCAATTAAATGACTTAAAAACCAACTTGACTTCTTGCTTCTATTTGTTTGGACTGTCACTTTATAAAGAAGGCATCAGAATTCTTTGTCTAATAACTTATGAAACTCATGAGGAAATTTATTAGGAGATGGGTGCGAGTGGGCATCATTAATTAAGAATTTTATCCATTTAATCCATCACTAATGCAGCCTGTGAGAAAACAGAGAACCTCTTTGTCTTCCTTCATATCTTTTCTTAGCTCTTTCCTGCCCTGTCATGTTTGAATAAAGCCAAAAGGAACATTTATGCAAAAGTCACCCACGTCTTACTTGGTTTTGTTGCATGATAGGTTGAGTAGTCAGCTGGCAACTGACTACTGCTGATCACTTTGAAATAGGCTGATTGTTTGCTACTGGAGGGAAAAGAAGTCTAATGTCAGAGACGTTACTGCGGATGTATGATTTCACTAGAAGTCAAGTAAGTAAGGAAGTAAGTTCTAAAAACCAAACTAAAAGTCAAAAGCTTTACTTGTAAACTCAAAGTAAAGTACAGGCTGTAACATTAATCAAGTCGTATTTGAGCACCATGAATGAGTCCTAGTATGAATTGCTTCAGTGCATTATACCTAATCATCACAGGCTATATTAATTTCACTTGATAAAATTAGCCAAGTGTGCTTCACAGTTGATTGCAAATTGTCTTGAACAAAAAGTCACAAGAAAACAGGTTAAAGTTGCCCTGGAAACTAACCACAGTAGGCTAACTACATGCTCCACTTACAATGGGCCCATGAGAACCCAGTGAGCAGCATTTTTATTCATGGACATGTACTCACACAAGGATTGTAAGGGGACAGAGCCTGTTCAGTATGCTTGTCATCGAGCTAAGACATTAAGGGATTAAACCATTACATTATTGAGTTTTTCCCCCTCATATGGTGGCAAACCATCATTGGAACACACCTCAGACAACTTTATTTCCAAACTACTGCCTCCCCAGAAACTCTGAATTGAATCTGTCTTACTTTGTGGTGTCCAGTGCCTCAAGATTTCATATATACAGAGCTAAAACACTCCACAGAGATTTCCATTTAGTTCCAGCCATCTTTCATTATTATAGTAATGCATTTGCTCTTGCATAGAATAAATGTTTGGAAATGCCTCAGCATTTACGATGTGGTCATTCCTGAAAGCACCCAAAAGTAAAACATGGATATTGAGTCACACTGGTGATTTTCACCAATGCAGTTCTGTTAAGTAATGGCACCTCCTCCCTGCAGGACATAGGCTATCTGTATATCTGGCAAAAACAAAAGAAACTCTCTGCTATACAACAATATTTGCTGCAATAAAGAATCTTGATGGTGTTTGTGATTCACCATGAAATTCTATGTTGGGAGTCAATGGGAGAACACAGTACATTTATTTTTACACCATGTCTCACTCCCACTGTACAAAACCATCAAGTAAGACATTATTTTTGTACAGATGAATCTGCCTCCAAACTCCATAATGACATCAAACGGAGATATAAAACATTAATATTTGAAATCAGATTGAAATCCTCTGTGATCCATGGGAAGAGGAAGGCCTGCGTTCAAAATGTTGTGTTTCGGTCCAGTCTTCTAGAAATCACATTTATATTTGAAAGGAACATGATGATTAATTAACGACTTAGCAGTTAATTATCCATCTGGGATCACCAAAATGTTCACTGTCAATATGTACGATTTATTTTTCTACAACATATTAAACATTTTAATGGTTATATTTAGTCATTCACAACTATTGGTTAAAGGAAAAGTTCAACATTTTGGCGGTTATGTTTATTCGCATTCATGCCGAGAGTTAAATGAGAGGATTGATACCATTCTCATGTCTGTGCTCTAAGTATGAAACTATCGTTAATTAACTTAGCATAAAGACTGAGGGTTGGTTGTGTCCATGGGTAATAAAATCCTATGGTGGCCCTGAGAGCTCAATGCACTGCAACTTAAGAAAACACATGCTAATAGACAAAACACAAGCAAATTCAGAAAACATCTCCATCAATTTGACAACTCACAACACAACCAAATACACAAACGCTCTACAAATACTCATAACGGCTGTGTTTCTAGTGTCACAGAAAAGTGATGAACCTGGCTGGGACTTGCATGGATGTATAACAATACATATAATGTATTATTTGTATTATAATACATCAATGCACACTTGTTTTTCAATGCTTTTAACTTCAAAAGTCACAAAGCATTGAACAACAAGTGCATCCCAGCTGGGTTCATCACTTTTTAATGTCCCCTGAAAACACTTCCATTGTGCTGTGATTATTTGCAGTGCATGACACGTGTTGTCAAATTGATGAAGATGTTTTCTGAATTTGCATGTGTTTTCTTAAGTTGCAGTGCGTTAAGCTTTCAGGGCAATCGCAAAATCCACCTAAACCCAAAGCTCATGTATCTTGTTTGTTCAATCTGCACAAAAACAGAAGTGAAAAAATTAGAGTTTTACAGAGGATTATGTATTGAACTATTTCTTCTCTGGGAGCAGTAGCTTTCTGATATCTCTGCTGGCTGCTTTTGGACAAAGCCATAACTGTTTCCTTGTTTCCAGTCTTTATGCTAAGTTAGCCGGCAGCTGTTTTCATACTGTATTTACCATACAAACATGAGAGTTGTATTTATCTTCTCATCTAACTCTAGCGAATAAATGTATTAAAACTACTCTTTTAAGGTTATGTATAGAAGACACAACATGTTTACGAACAACATTCAGACTGTGAGGCCTTGAGTCCAGCGCTTTTTTTTTTTTCCACTCACCATCCACCCAGACTACCTCCCTGCAAACTCCCTTCACGCGAAAACACTTTGACATTGGGAATAAACCAGGCAGTACAAA